TATTGAGGTTTTGGTGGGTCTGAATTCTAAAAGGTTTAACCTTTTTCGCTATAATATAATTAAATTTTATAAAGATTAAATCTTTATTTGGTGTTCATTTTCTTATTGGAATTATTTTTTCAACATATAGTGCATCTACACTATCAAGGGCATACAACTAAGTGTATAACGGTAAGTCTAGGCATATTGGACTTAGACATATACAAGTAAATCAGTTAATAAATGATGGGGTGATCACCATTAGCTTCTTACGATCAAGTAAGAACTTAGCAGATCCTTTCACAAAAGGATTACCAAGAAAACTGATTGAAAACACTTTGAAAGGGATGGGACTCAAGCCCACTTATAAAGTCACCCATGATGGAACCTTGTCTTGAAGCTTGGTATTTCACCAAGACTCAAGATTAAGTTAAAGTACATCATATGAATGTGGCTGAAAGTTCTGCGAAGTTTTGAAAACCATCCCAAGGTCAGCAGAACTTGGAACCGTAATGTAAGGACATGTTGAATTTACTTCTTAATGGACTTGTAACACAGTGTGTGTTGGAGTGTTTGAGTTACGGGAACACTTTTGACAAGGTCCACCTATATGAATGTGGAAGTGAGGCCGCTTCCTATGAGTTAAAAGGCTTGGATCTAAAATCATTTTAAGAAATCAAGATATAGACCCATGGCCAGTCAACGGGTCGACTTATAGTGATTAGATGAATGAGAGGAAGGATATGTGTGAGGCATTTTCATCTAACATATAAAGGAAGATGGTTCAATGACTTTGGTTCAACCATTCTTATCCTAGTTAGACTTGAGCTCTTTCACTATGTAAAGGTTCAAGGTGCAAGACTCCAACTTTACTTATGCATAACACCCCCAAGGATTTCGGAATTTGTTTAGGTCCAGTCATGTCGGTCTCTTTTACAAAAATAAGTCTATTTTGAATATGGTGGGGGTTTGATGGAAATTTTTTCAAAATTTAGTAGATAGGTTCAAGTGTTTTTGGGTTGAGTCTTGGGAAGAAAAAGAAAATTTGAATTTGGTGGGTTTCACCTTATCCCACATAGGTGAAAGAGTGGAACAAAAGTGGATATATAAGTGGAACAATTTTCTATATATTAATTTAATATATATTGGAAATGTTGGGGGTCCACATAAATATTTTTGACAACTTTATAAATGACATATCATGACGGTTCATATAACACTTGTACGGATTATGAACCATTGTGATGGTTCAATTGGTGGTTAGCAACAGTTGATACAAAAGCACCTGCTTGAACAGTCGCGACGCTTTTGAAGCGTCACAAATAATAACTGTTGGTGCTATTTGAAAGTTGCAACGAGTCAAATCGTCGCGAAAAGTTAAAAACTGTCAATTTGTGTCAGTTAGGGTTGTCACCTATACCTATATATACCTACTTATAAACACCAAAAATCATCTTCTTTTCATATACAAAATTAACCTAAAAGTATTTCGTTATAGAATCATACTTTTAGGCTTCTTGAAATCCTTGATTACTCAATAGTCCAATTGGGATTATCACCACTTGTGCGGTGTTGATAATCAATCTACATACGTTGCTTCATTGTATCTTGAGAAACAATTTGCCATAACCCAAAGCACCTACGGTGGGGGCGAAATTGCTTTAAGGATAGAGAGTTTACTCGCCTTGAAAGCAATAAATAGTAAATTTAATTTTAGTCATTTTATACCTCTAGTTTAGAACCCTGAAAATAACAATGCAGGGGTTATATAGTATGCAACATGAGGTGACGTCATAACTTACTTTTTTTCTTTCGAAGGCAGGGGATAAAGGAAATTAGAAGACCGAGATAACTTTAGATTTATTTTGACAGTTCATATGAGGGATATGGTTGGATAGGATGAAGGAAGTTTCTGGTTCATGCATTACTTTTCGTCTTGAGAGATAAGACATATTTTTAAGACTACTAGTGTACCCATGTTATGCATCAGGATATAACTTTTTCTAAATGCAAGCAAGAATACAAAGTAGAAATACATTTTTACCGATCATAAAACAGAGTCGGGTCCATCTGTTATAGCGTATGAGGATGGGTAAAAAGCAAAGTGGTGTTATAGTTGGGAAAAAACATATGTTTTATATATCGATGCTTGTTAGACGAATGACAATTTCGAGTTTGTAAACGCATCAAAGGTGTGTAAAGTCACCACTAACAAACACAAATAAGAATACCCCAACATTCCTTAATTCCATATGCTATCTAAAAGTTATATATATCGATAAGTCATGATTTTTTTTCCAGACATTTCTATTTATAGGAATATATGTTCTTTGCATTCGGTTATTTTCATATTAATGACTTCAAGTCCTCTCAGTATGTCCATTTTAATAGGCGTCATGCCTAAATGTTTCAAGGAAAAAAGGGAGAATTCAGAAAAATCGTTCACATAACAAAATCTTTATGAACAAAATAAGCGTTAAAAAAGGACATTTCCTACAACAAAATATAAATAAAAGACTGAGAGAAATTCTGAACAAGAAACCTCTCATATGACATAATTTGTGTTTTGAAATATTTCTAATAATAGCTAAATTTACATTTTTTTTATTAACCTGGATATCCAACTCACTATGCGAGCCGACTAATCCCAGGTCAACCACTAACTTTGTAGATAGCCCGGAGTCACCGCATTTAATCCTTCGTGGCCACAAGGGAATTTTTATTCCTTATTGGATTTGAAACTAAGGCCTCCAGGTACTTTTGACTATTGGAGCATAGCTCAAACCAATCAGGCACCACCTTTGTGGTTAATAATAGCTAAATTTACATATTATTTTAGGAGTAAGCTATAAATGCACATATATTAGTTATTAAAGGTACACCTAATTGATAGCATTCTGACACACATTAACATCAAAACACCTTTTTTACGGTTTGACATGATTTTGATATAAACGAGTGTGCATATAACAACACCCTATTTCTAATAACGTTAACTTTGCACATTGATGATGCTGAAGTGAATCAGTCATCGAGTTGCATGCATATAGGTTCAGGAAATCAACGACTTTTCCAAACACTTGATCTTGAAAATATACATTCTTCTCACATAGGAATAGGAATAGGATCCAAATAAGCCTACAACAAATGGGTATCAGAAAATATAAAGTTAAAAACAACAATATACAAACAATTGATAGATATAGAATAGAAACATAACAACATGTTCTCATCTATATTTCCTATGTACCTGACTCACCCAAGCTATGTCCGTCTTATGGACATTTACACAAACGGTCGATGGCTGCATGTTAGAACCCATTATTCGTATGGTTGAAAAGGCTTATTTCCGAGACTTGAAAAATGAAGTTTGCAAGTGTTCATGTTTCTTCTTCAGAGATCGTATGTCTCAGTCTTCTCTCTACTTCACTGGATTGTGACTCCATCTCTTCAAGAATCATGGTCAAAGCTGATTTGCAAGAGGGTTCATCCCGAAATGCAAGGGTCCATCTTCCATCAACCAAAGATTTTGATTTCAGTTTAAGGTTGGCGGCATTCTTGGCGGTTTCAGTCAATGGTAAAGTAGATGGACGGATTCGAAGGTGTAACCATCTTGAATGCCTATCATCTATTCTTGGCTGTCAACAAAATAAATAGCGTTAAATGCTCTAAAGATCGTTACTGAGACTAGCCAATCGTGTCACACAATTTAAGAAGAAAGAGAAAAGATAATAAAAAGGAAAAAGCAGAACTATCAAGAGGGATTGGGATTGTGTCATAGGGCTTGTATGCTTGTGTATGTAGATATATAGACACATACACGGGGGTTGTGTGTGTGTGTGTTAAACATTTTGAGATTGTGTCATAGGGCATGTATGTTAGTGTATGTAGATATATAGATACATATACAAGTGTGTGTGCGTGCGTACACAAAACATTTATACGTATATATGTTGTATAAAGATTTTTCTATGTACATGTATACATAAACAACAAGCACATATTGATACATACATAATTACATATATATATATATATATATATATAGTCCCCTTCTTTCACAAACCCAATAACTCATACAAACTTACCAATTTTTATGTGTTTTTGTCATATAAGAAACAAAACATGTGAAAATGCAGTATTTATACAATGTTGTTTCATAGGTGAAACGTTCAACACTGTTTTTTTCCATACACAAAACAGTCCTGGACGTTTGACAAATGAAACAACACTGCCTAAACACCCATGTTGTTTCATATGTGAAACAACACATGAAAATTGGGTTACAAGTTTGTATGATTTATTGAGCCTATTAATGATTATAATTATATACAGAGACATACACACATAGATACATATGCATGTACATGTGTGTGTGTGTGTGGGTGTACATATATACACACATGTGTAAGTATGTGTACTGGAACAAGAATGTTGATGAGGAATGGAGCATCTTCCTCAAGTTCAAAATAATTACTAGCTTTGTCCCTAAATAAATGTAACAAGTTCCTTTTGAATGTCATAAGATAAATATAACATACCTTTTCTTCATCAAGGTGTTTATCTAAAACTACCTCCAGAATTAGTAATCATAACTTCAATTTTGGTCAACAAGACTCTTACTCAATTACATGCCTAAACAAAAGTTGCACTTATTTTGTGGAATGAAGTACTTTGTCTATACTAGGGAAAAGTTCTTTTAGAAACCGTACATATTTTGAAAACCGTGAAAACCAACTATTTATGACGAATATATATAAATAAACATTAATATCATTCATCATGCATATTCATAATTCATTCATCATGAATAGGTGGTCTCACAGTTCTCAATATATTTACGATTCTCAAATGAACCTGCCCCGTTTATACTATAAGCCAGGCCTCAAGTATAAGCAGTAATCTGTTGGTTCAACGACATGAATGTGCAATGAACAAAAAAACCATTTCAATACTCGAGAGTAAAGAACGTGTAATTTGCACCACAAGGAGAATATATTTATACTTACTTTACATCCAGCCAAAGGTGCCACAACACGAACAGTTCCATAACGAGGTTTCTGAGGCGATTCCTCTGCAAGGATTATCCATCCTGAAGTTCCCATAGAAATTGCCAAAAAGCTAAAGTGACGTTCCTTTCCCCTTTCAAAAGCAATTCTACAAGGCACTGCATCAACTGATTTGAAAAGGTACCAGTTCAAGACTTAGGCACATAGATAAATTAGTACATTACATATTTACATATATATAGGGCAGGTTCAAACGAGAAGCTAAACGTTTTGCGAGAAGGTGAGAAGTTTCAATATCATATATGATTACATGCATGATACACAAGCTTAATCGTATATGATTACACGCATGATACACAAGCTTAATCATATATGATTACACGCATGATACACAAGCTTAATCATATATGACTGAACACATGTTGTATTGACAATACATAGATGCTTAACCATATATGATTGAACATATCCAAAGAAGTGTAATCATATATGATATTAAAACTTCTCGTCTTCTCGCAAAATGTTTAACTTCTCACATGATCCTTCCTCTATCTCTCTCGATCTCTCTCTATACATATACATATATATATATATACATATACATATATATATATATATATCCACACACACTATATATATACACACACACACACAAACACAAGCGTGATCCCAAGAAGGTAAGAAGCACCTCCATTAAGCAAATACATGATGCCTTGCTAAACAGAGGATCATACAGATTAGGCCCTTAACCGAAACTTCAGAATTTTCAGCACAGTTTAGCATTCAGATTCACTGCTTCATTAGAAACAAATTGCAATTTTTGAAAGTTTTATAACTTTTTAAGCAAGTAAATAAGATTCGACTCACCTGGCGCTCCCAGCAAATTATTTCAAAAATTCCCATTTTTGTTTATTGTATTAAGACCAGCATCACCATTCCACATTAGTGAAACCAAATTGAAATTATTCCTCCTGGGATTTGAACCTGGGATCTCCAGGTACTTTTGACGTTTGGAGCCAAGCTCAAACTAATCAGGCACCACCCTTGTGGTTAAGGGCATAATATTTAACAAGTAGTCAAATGATTTCATTAAACTATGTGTCAAATCAAATATTGTAGTTCTCATGGGACAAACGGAGCAGGTTATTGTCAGCTATGTTGATAATTCTTTGTATTTAAAATTTTAAAAAAATCAATGAATACATGGGTTTTGAATTAGCATTACAAAAGGGAAGACAAAAATATGCATGTTATGTACTAACCCTAACCAATAGATGTTTAGGGCCTGTTTATTAGCAGCTTAATGGGGCTCACAACTTATTAAGTCAGCTATACATGACTGTTTGGTAGTGACTTAATGATATAGAAAGTAGCTTATTCAGTAAGCTTCTAGGGGGGAGCTTTATGCAGAAAGTCAAGTTTTTTTTTTCCAAACTTGCCCCTCCCAATTAAAAAAACATGCTCATTTCACCTATGAAAAAATCCTCCCAAACAAAAACATTCCCAATCTATACAGATTAATCCACATAGATAACTTCATTTATACAAGACTTAATGGAAAACCAACCAAACAGTTGAGCATGCTGACATCGTGTGCAAATCTTACCTAACATTGAAATTAATAAAAAAACAAGATTGTAAGAAATCAAAACCATAAATTATTTTCCAATATAATCACTAATCAGGTGAGCAAGACTAACCAAGATTTAATTCAGTGCTCAGCTTTGGACCAATAACATTCAGACCAGCAGATTTTGCTCGGGAATTTTCAGGGAAGTCAGCTGGAGGAAGGATAGGAAGCTGATCTGGTAACGATCTACCAGCTGAGAAAATTTGGAGCTGATGAAGAAGCACGAATACCTAAGTTCAAATAATAAAATAATAAGTTCATGTTTTCTGTCATCAGATTAGACATAAGACATAGACATGACATAAGGATTGGGTTTGAGGAAACCTTAATACACTCGCTCATTGTTTCACCAGCAGCAAAAGAGGATTCAGCGGGCATAACGTCTATCAGAGAACCAAATATAAGAAGACTGAAGAACTTAAAAAATCTTATGGAGAATGTCGTTTAAAATCATGGAGTATATCATAAGTCATACCACTAGGCAAGTACTTCTTTGTTGGGAAGAGTATGGACTTGGGTTCCTTTCGTGGAGATGAAGCCTCGATTGCTACAGTAAAAAATTGGAACCATCAAATAAAAAAATTAATACAAACAAAAACTTCACACACTTCCACTGACATCTAGTACCTCTTTTGCATTTTCTCCACTCATCACATAGCACTTGTATGAGTAGATCAGGCCAGGTTCCTCTCGCCTCATCAAGGAGTTGGCTACAGCTCTTCTTATAGGAATCCTGTAAGGAAGAAACAGAAATTTTGGTTGTATGTTTAATTAACTTGTATGTAGAAACACATTAAGAAAATAAATGATGCAGGGTTGAAGCTGAATTTAATACTAAAAAAACAGGTTACATAACTCAAAAGATAATCGTAGGAAGCTGGTATACATATCTCATTGCAGCTCTCCAATCGTTCATATCTTGCGCCATGGTAAGTTTTGTTGCATCATAACAAATTGTGTTCGTACAAAAACTTATGTCACATTGCGACATAACATCCATGATTACTCATATCTTTGACTACTATATAAACCTATGATATTGGGTTTGTGTGCTTTTCAGTCTATCTTTTGCTTATCCTAAAGGTAGAATACGATAAAATTTTAAGATTACATTTTCCCTAGAAATATTTATAGGAGAATAAAAAAGACAAGCTGTCGGATCTTCGATACGATAATTTGGGTTCTGGGAAATAGGAATGGAATATACTTGCTGTTTATGCTTCTATTGCTACGTTAATGCTGCACCTCGTCCACATGTCTATGGGAACTCCCCCCCTCTTTGGACGTTGTCTTCAATTGTAAAGCTAGATTTACTAATAGAATAATAGCAACAATAACAGCAATAAGGAACAACCGTGACTATTTGCTTGATGAGAATAGAAGTGGAAGAAACAGGTTGAGAATCTTGTACAAGCTGGCCAGTTCTATAGGGTTTTTTAGGCAAACTGGGAACAGAAAGAAACTGACAAATATCATACCGTCAATCAATGTGGATCTACAGATGTATTTCACCAAGCTCTAGATATTGAATTTGAGTGTCATTCTGCAACCATATAACTAATATCGTACTCCTTCACTGTCAAGAGTCCACTTTCGAATTTGGAAATTCAAGCCTTGTAAATTCACATGGATGGGTTCTATTTTATTGGTTATTTTTTTACAGTACTTTTTGGGAATTTACCGTAATAATCATTTCTTAATTTGCAACCAAAAACAATTCTTCTTAATATTAGAAGCTGAAAAGAGAACTCAATGGACACTCAAAAAATCAACTGTTTTTCGGGGTGGAGGAAATATTATATTTCACTTTTCATACTACCAAGATTTGTATGGCCGTTATTCTATAAGCGCAGAATCTAAAATTCATGTCCAATTTTCTTCAGGCATATCCTATTTCTACATCTAAATTAGTCCAAGTTACAATTTGCCTGTTAACTGAGAGAAAAATGTATCATCAAAGATACATATACACTTCCAAAAAACACACTTGGCATAATTACGAAGAAATATATTCGATTTACCTTGAGGGACTGAAGATGATGATTGTTAAACTCTGTCTCACTATACGGAAGCAATTGCCTCAAAAGCCAACCTCCGTCCCATAAAGTATCTGCTGATATGTTTGTTCGACAAAAAAGACTAATCAACGCATCTAGCACCTGAAAGCAAGGATACACGAACTATCAAGATAAATTTTAGCTTTAAAATACAAGGAAAAATTGTTATACTTCCATAAAGTGATGTGGACTTCAACTTTTGTATGTAACTCTAACCTCAAGGAACATATCACATGAAATACCAGTCACAATACTTCACCTTCCATGTATTCAAATGTTTTAGCATACAAACATATTTGTATCCTTTCCAAGTAACTAGGCCATGTAAAACAGGAAACTAACTTACAATTATGACTTCTTATACCATTTACTGCCATTAATAGTAAAAGTTAGTTACATCTTTTTCTGAAAAGTTGCCAGCACGCCAACAACAGACAAAGAGTAGGGAACAGAGAAGTACTAGATATCTATGTACACGTGGGCTTTCTCCAACTTCCTGATAGGAACACGACACTTCATACTGGTCCTGCCAACAACAATTGGGACGTCAAAAGAATAAAGGGAAGAAGTGGAGGCTCAATTGAGCAAAGAAAAAGAATAATTAGAGAAACAAAAATAAGCAGATATCTATTGGGAGTACATATAAAGTTGCTACATTGAACTACAAATCACTAAAATGCATGCCACTCTAAGATAATGATTTATTAGAATATTCATGGGGATTAAGAAAGATATTGGCTGTGTTAAATTTCTAAAGGAACTTTCGTTTAAATATATTCATCTGCTAATAAGTGCAAGATTTTTTTTGCATGTTGAAGTGATGCACTTCACACAAGGTATCGTAATACAGAAGCACAAAACTACTGTCTACCTTGAATCAACCAAACGAACCTAGTAAAACCCACAGAATGGGGTCTGGGGGTGGAATGTACGCATATCTTACCTCTCTAACTGGAGGAGTAGAGAGGTTGTTTCCTTGTAAACCTGGTTTTCTAAAAAAAATATGCTAAAAAGAAATTGCAGAAAGAGAGAAATTTGGGGGAGGGGAGTTAAACGCCCGTGAAAGAAAGAATGATGTTTTAAAGAGAAGAGGAGCATGGAAAAGGAGAATAAGTAGAGTAAGAATTGTATACTTTCTACCTTGAATATATGTAACAAATTTATACTTTCATTGTATATTTGTATAAAATATACTAAGAACAAAGATTAATTGTTTGAGAGGATGATGCAAGTCAGTATTGACCACTTCTAAAGGAAGATAAGACATTTGCTTTAGGAAATTTTAAGCTAGAGACTTTCTTATAAGGACGCCCCAGAAAAAAAATGCATCAGAGGCTTTAGGATGTCAGGAGTGTATATACACAACATAAATCAAATGCATCTCTGTACGAAGCAGAAATTTGCAGAAACATAAGCACATAACAAAACTATTATAGCTTAGTAGTAAATAGGTCCATAATGAATGTATCAGAAGGTTTTATGGGGATAGAGGAGATGAGAAAGATTTATTAGTCAGATGATTGAGCATCTAGGGACAGCTACGCTGTTAAAATTGCGATATATCGCCGATATACCGGCGATATATCGGATATCGGACTCGGGGGAAAAAACGGTGGTGAAATATCGGTTCCGATAATATCGCCGATAGTTACCAATATTTTGATGGAAAAATCGATCCGATATACCGGATTTCTATAAGACAAATGTTTGGGCTTTTCTTATTACATGTTGGGCTTAGTTTTTCACCTTTTTGGGCTCTTTATTTGGTCATGTATGTTGGAGATGAAGGGGAAGAAGGGGAAGATTGGGAAGCTAACCTAAACGAAGAAGTGAACGTATTAGATGATGTTGACTCGGATGCCGAACCTATTGCTTGCGATTAGCTCGTTTTTGAACACTTTGTTTATTTTGTTTAGTAAGACTTGTTTATCAGTTTATGTGATGTTTTAATTTTGAAACTATATTTCTGAACTCCAATTAATGCATATGATATGTTTATGGATGCATATAATTCTAAGAAATATTATATTAACCGCTATTTTGGACCGATATAATCGATATATCGAATATCGGTCCTGACCGATATTTTGTATTTTGACCGCAGTAACAGCATAGAGGGACGGTAGCTGCAATACTTGATTGGGACTTGTCTTTCAAAATTTGAACACTTCATGTACAGTTGTACACACTACGCAGTTGGAACATCTTTAGTCCAGAGTGTTTCAGTAGAGCTTATGATATCATCAACATTCACCACAAACACAAAAGGTGAATCATATCAGGATCCAAAAGCCTGTGAAGTCAACAATCCTAGGTAAACATTAAACAAAATAGCAATAAGGTCTAACAGCACTTGAATTAACTGTAACATGAACTTTTTTTTCTAGTTGACCAAAGAGCATATAGAAAATAGAAAAAACTACTTTTGAAACTTCACTAGCATCTTCTTTCATCTATTATGGATATCACTTCCAAACCCCAATAATGATTGCACCGAATTGCAGACTAATATTGTCACACTTCTACCACCACAATTTTGCTACCTAGAGGCTAAAGCCATTAGAAAGAGGGTTGGCCTAGAAGCATCCAATCTATATCTTATGGTGCAGTTCACTGAGATCATTTCACATCCTCATTTAGGAGAGAGCAACATTGCTAGAAACTCTGCTACAATTGAGCTTCCCTGTGTTCCAGTCTTCATAATTGGTTTATCTCTACACTCTTCAGGAGTGCACTTAACTGAGTGCACCATGACTATGTATTACACTCCTTGAAAGTGCCAAAAATTAATCACGAGGAGGATTGATCAGCAGAATCTAATGTCATGACAATAGCTTTAGCAGTATTTTTGATGTTTCGGATATCATTAACAGCTTAGCTGTCATTTTTCATATATAAGATCATCTGTAAAACAATATGTTACAACTAGAAAGTGATAAATAGAGTACTTAATAAATAATAAAAATAACCCTTTGAATATATGAATAGCTTCATTTCTTATACACATTTCAATTAACCAATAGTTTTTATCAAAGTGAAGGTTAAAGAGGGATATTATACCTTTAACCTTTGTAGGTAAATATTTAGCTCACCATCGCTACCATCCTTCGATGTGCAATTTTCTGAAGCAAAAAGCTGCTCTTCACCAGAATCCTCACCAACCAAGGCTTTCTGTAATAGGAAAACGGGAAGGCATCACATTTCAACAAAATAAGGAACAATGGGAGAACAAAACTGTAATACTGTCGGGCATGCAGTAACAGAAATGTACATGTGTTGGTAATCAGCTACTTCAGACAACATGTGGTAGCTTTAGGAAGCAATAAATTTATAGAATTACAATGTTTTTGTCGTTTCTAGTAACAATTACCGTAGATGACTACATGGTAAATCATTGTAGAAAAAAACAAGATTTCAGGCTTATGAGGGGGATCCATGAATTAGAATCTAATAAGAGTTGGGATCAGGCGATCAGGCATTGACATTTAATCCAGTAGTGAAGTAAGACAAGAATCACATGACCAAACCAAATGAGCCTAGTATATCCCACTGGGAGGTGGGGCCTGGGGGGATGGGATGTATGTAAACTTGTCCTCAACCCCAAAGAGTAAAGTTGTCTCTGTGAAGACCCCCGGCCTGAGATAAGTGTGACACAAAGAAAGCTTGTCTAAGAAGTTTGAAGAAATTGAAAAAAGAAGAGTTTGAAAGTGGAGCTTGAGACCAAAAAGGAAGATACTCCCAAATTTTGAAAAGAACTGAGGCTAGAGATAAGTAAGCAACACCATATAAACAAAATTAGGTACAAAGAAGCAAATTTGTACCTAACTGAAGGTACCACAATCTATCTTAAGATGCCAATACCTATCTGCCAGCTCACTAAACCTATCCTCCCCCACCCTCTAGCTCTCAAGCTCCTTGTCTTGTCTATGCTAACTACATGTCTCTCCCCCTATTCTACTTCCCTGATCTTGTGGCCCCACGAACTCCTATCGAAGGTCATGTCCTCAAAAATGACTAAAGCCTCCATGTCCTTCCTTAGTTGCTCATCCCACGTCCTCCTCAACATACCCTCCTCCTTGCCCCCTAGACCGTCACACTTTCTAACCTCCTTAGCGGAGCCTCCACCATCTAACATGCCCAAACCACCACAAATTTCCCCTCTCAACTTACCCATGATAGGTTCAACTCCCAATCTGCCCGGATGGCATCATTCGGTATCCTGACAACCATAGGTCCATCCAAGCATCTTTATTTCTATAGCTTCCTCTCATGAGCCTTCCTTGTCGCCAACACTCCGACCCATATAATATAGTTGGTCTAATAGCTACCACGTAGAATTTTCCCTTGGTTTTAACGGGACCTTTTGTCATACAGCACCACCTGTCGCCATCCTCCACTCTAGTCACCCCCTCTTCATGCGATGTCATGTCATTCTCAACCTCTCCCTCCTTCTAGATCATGAATGCTAGACACTTTGAAAGTATCTTTTGCGCCCTACCCCCCCCCCCCAAATAAAAAGTGTTGACTTCTACCCTCTCGCCAATACTCCCTGATGAAATTGCAGTCTCAGAGCGGCTAATGCCCAATCCTTGTATTTCAAATGTTTTGGCCAAGGACATCTTGTAGATCAAAGTAAAATTGTAGAATTGTAAATTAATTAGATAGATTTTATGTTTTGCTTATAATAGGTTATTATTATTTTTTATTTTAGGAATATCTTAGTCTTCCATATTTTGTCAGATTCTCAAACAAGATTTATGAATCCTATGAAATGAAATCAGGAAATACTTTTGTATATAAAGGGAACTAATCCCTTTCTTTTGAGTATAACAGGACTTGGAATAATTCTCTCAATTCTTTCTTCAAGTGCAACCCATAAAAAGTCAATGGAGCTTGGCTTAATTGGCAAAAACTATTTTCAGCAACAGTTTAGTAACAAATGGAGCTACCAAAGTCTGATGATATTGGCATCAACCATCAGAATGGAGTTCAAATTACAAGACCAAGGTTTAGAATACTCAACCAAAGACATCAAGCATGCGTTATGCATGAGCAATAGATGACGACTCTACGTGACAGTAATAACATGGCAGATCGGCGTGTCAAAAAATAACACAACAGGTCAAATCCAAAAGTATATATTTTTTAGAACAGAGCAAATGACAATGATATTAGCCAGGATTTACTTGATGCCTTCGATCAAAATGGCAGTACTGGGAATACCGTTCTGAAGGAAACCTATGCAGTTCAAGGTGTTGACAAGGCATTGAAGTAAAACCACCATGCACAAACTACATTAGGCACTAATAAACCTAGCAACAGTCCGTCAATAAATCTCTAGGGTTATTTACATCAAAGGTGGATACAACTCGAGTCCTGGAGGAGTAAATTGTTTCCCCATCCGTGCTGGTTAGTTTCAGAAACCCCTTCCTCGAGGTTAAGATCTCTCTTCTAAAACGTGAGCATACGGGTCTTTCATAGTTACCCTACAATTCAAGACATCATTTGAAAGAACCCATAAAGTTGATGGGTGTTAATTCTTCCAAAACTTCTCATTCCTGATTGTTAAAAGATATTGCAAAAAAAGAAGCTAAATCTAATAGCAGTAGCTATAACAGAAAGCTTGACAAGTGAAAGTTAATTATTTATAGTTGTGATAGTGTACTAATAGTAATATTTTGTTATAAACTCTTGAAGGATCTTTATGAACCAATTGACACCATTCAATTTCACCTAAACTACTGCAGTAGTTTTGGAAGAGCTATCAGCAATTTGTAACACACCTTCACAACAGCAATCACAAATACAGTAACCCATCCAACAATGCAATTCTGGCCACTTCCCCATCTTCCGGAAATGGACTGTTTTTCTTAATACTATCCATAACAATCCAAAAACCCTTTACTTCCAGATTTACTGCATGAGCATCTTGAACATCAACAATTATCCTTCTTAAGCTCCTTGCTTTGAATATTAGTTTTTCAGCACTCCTAGAAAACAAACTCCAAAATGGACACCTCATCCCCTTTATGTAAAGTGTTAATGCCTACTCCAGAAAGAAAGAAAAAAAGTGAACTAAATTGAGGAATTGAAGTAATTTAGTGCGTATACAATGATTAAAGATAAAATCATGGGGATTATACATACAAATCTGCCAACTGAATTAAAAGAAAGATGATGACAAGAGCAATTGAACCTTTCTTGTATGCTAATTACAGTTCTAAGCAAGACAAACATGTAGATTATGGTAAAATAGAACTTCATTATTTTAGCTATAAAGTAACAGAACGCAATGTAATCAATCAATCATCCATCTATTAATAAAAGAGAGGATTGGACGATAAATCTTCAGCATGACAACTTATACACTACGCATGCTGAAGATCACAGGACAATCAAGAATGCAAGTGATAAATCAGCAGCACAAACCAGTAAGAGTTTCTTATGTTGTTTACGTTGCGGAAGGATTCCAAGAGCATCTAGCATCGATTCATCAAGCTCTGCAGATTCACAAATATGATGAAAAAACAACATCAAGAAGTAGGAGACAAGATGAATAACGTACAACCTTTAGTTTGCAAGAATGTGGCCAAAACACTCAAAGAACCAACCACTTGAACATCATCACCACTCGTGATGTAAGAGATCAAAGCATCCCTACACAAGGAAAAGAAAGTAGAAGATCAGGATGGACATCGGAAGGTAATAAGTAAAACAATGTAGACGAGTTCATTCCTATATTACTTTAACAATGTGAAAGAGTAGATAAAATGAAAACTGTAAAAAGCACTTCAAGGGGAAACTTAACCCTCTACAAGCATAAGCCTCGTTGTTTTAAGAAATAGCATCCCTACTGAACAACTTTATATGCTCATTACACTTTTCTAAGTGCCTCTTAATTCTGTATCCTTATTCCTGCAGTAACCAGTATGATGTGTTTGTAATAGATGAGGCCACCTGGAAGGATTTACTTAAATGGATAGTCTCAAATATAGGCTTTAGAATACCATGGTATTCGGCACATTTGGCTCAACTAGCCAATGCAAAGCGTCCCCTCAACACCAAGGAGAAAACCTTAGGCCTTCCTGCCAATGGACATGCCTAAGGAAATCGATGGCAGCAATGCGATTTGAACCAAAGACCATTTGAAACCAAATCCCAAACCTTTTCCACCAGGCCAACTCCTTGGATTAAAACACGTCATTTCAATATGGCATGGCCTTGGCAATAGTCAGCTTTATAATTAGAAATAGGTCCTTCAACTTCACCAGAGTACTCAAGAAGCAGCCATAGCATGCTTCAGAGGCACTTGTAAACCAGAACTTCTTGTTACATGTGATCCATGATTGATATTATGATCTAGAGAATTTAAAGCAACAACTTAGCACGTATTTTTGGCTTTCCTTACTTTCTTATTCAAGTAAGTTCTGTTTGTAAATAAGTAATTGTAGCAAGGAGAATTTAAGATCTTATCAGGTAGATGTACCAACTTCTCTTCATCCTCCAAGTTCATTTATTAGTATGCCAGAGCAATAATTTCCAGGTATAAAATGCACAACATAGCATTGACAAATTTGTTTAAACTGGAGCTACAAGACTACCCAGCAGCATCTGCTACAACATGATTTGGAACATACGCCCAGAATCCACATGAACACTTGACAGATCATTTTAGATTGTGATAAGAAAAAGGAAAAAAGATGTTCACTTTTAGCTATGTGCTAACTGTTAACAACCCAAATACTTAAATAGAAGTTCACTAGTCAACTGTTTCCATCATGAACACGTAATAACTAGTTTTTCTCTCTGCTTCACTGTCATATATACGGACAACAATATTTGCAGTGTGGTAACTAGACAAATCATTTAAGAAAAGCAGTGCAAATCTGATTCAAAGAAAAACTTGGAAGAATTAAGGGGGTCATTTTTTGAACTATAACCATATTTCATATACTTACTCAAAACTTAAACCACATAAATATTTACAACTTCCCAGTGTTAGCATCTCCAAACTTCTTTTTCAGTAAAAGAAGTATATAGAGAGAAAAGAACAATCTACAGCTGTTCAGGGGTGTGCACCAGAACTAGAAACATAAATCAATAAGAGATGAATGCCCCAAAACTTCAACATGATTTTCCCCACCGATCATCGACCATGAATGTGGTGGTTGTCTTTATGGAAAAAAGAAAACTAAAGTCACTCACAGATTCATAATATATAAAAGGGTAGTAGCTTCATTCTTCAGCATGTGGTGGTTGTCTTTATGGAAAAAAGAACACTCAAGTCACTAACAGATTCATAATATATAAGAGGGTAGTAGCTTCATTCTTCAGCCTAAAGACATGCTTCAGTTAGCCGTTCCAGAAAAGGATGTTAGTTGTACTTGATTGTAGAACCGCGTGAATCACTACCCTCCTTGATTAACATGGTTCTCACCGGTTGACAGCATGAAATATGATGGATTACTATAAGAATTAATGAAGTTACACCTTGATACCATTTGATAAGTAAAAGAAAGACAAATGGAAGGTTATTCAAGTACTTGATTGTAGAACTGCGTGAATCACTACACTCCTTAATTCACATGGTTCTCGCCGGTTGACAGCATGAAATATGATGGATTACTATAGGAATCAACGAAGTTACACCTTGATACCATTTTGATAAGTAAAAGAAAGATAAATGGAAGGTTATTTTTCATATTAATTTAACCACATCTGATATACATTAGAACTGAGAGCATAGCTCTGAATTATAGCAAGCATGGCTAAGATGTGCTTACTTTATTTGCATGATGCATACACCTACCCAATCCCCTTGTTAAATGACAAGGCTATTGCAAGCATTCATGCGAAGCTAGGTTGTATAGAAGCACCTTAACAATTAGACTCCTTTTAAGACGGTTATCAAATCCAATAATGACGTTTAAATGAAGTGACATTCCAACAGGAGGGCACAGGAACATGTCAGCCAAGATTCACCTCATTCTTACTAGTGGGAAGTCAACTAACCAACAGAAACATAGCCAAGGACATCGCCTTGACAAGAGGAGCATAAAGAAATGCAGTTCCTTGAGCTGAAATATCAAGACTTACACGTCATGTTATAATTTCCTAAGGTCTCATGCTGACCCTACCTCACTTGTTTAAGATAAAGGTTTTGTTAAGTAAGCTGTATGAGCCTGACCTGATGATAAGATGCTCAGCTAACATGCAACCTTTAAGCAAGACTTCAAACAACCTATACAACGCACTTTTCAGATTTAAAGTGCATCTAGTTTTTTGCCATTTTGGTCAGAACTTGAAGGTGGCCACACATAATAATGACACCGACATAACTTCTCAAATTTAGTGGTTTACAAACTTCTTAGAACCTTTAGAGGTATAACCTCGTATTAAAGCCACATGTGACACGTGGTGGTGTAGGACCTACCACATCCAACACAACAGTAACAGATGACACAGATCATGCTAAAATAACATAAACCAAACTAGACAGACCCAATAAATCCAACGCAGAGGTATATAATCATAACTTTTATTGCATGACAATGTAACATTGAGATATATTGCCATTATAGAATATTCTCTAGCAGACAATGCAACCAAAGGATCCAATTGGTTGTGCAGAAAAACTGAAGGAAATACAGCAGCGAGATTCATTAAGTAATGTTTCATACCTTAAGACTGAAGCAGAACCCCAGCAATTATGTTGAACGCTTGGTGAAATAGATAAACTTGGAACAGAAACTATTATGCTACTAGAATCCAAATTTCCTCTTGGCTTCTCATCATCTACATGGCTCTCATGAGTTTCATCATGGTCCGCCCTGAAGCCATTGAGTTTAGCCTCAGAATTTGGCAAATGGCCTTCAATAGAACAAATCAGGGCAACAGCAACAGTATTTGCTAGGTCTTTAATCTTGAGAATCCGCAAGATGCAACACAGCAAGTAAAGAGAAGTAACAGAACTGAACTTCTTTCCCTGAGATTATAAGATTCCATTTTTAGTAATTGAATGTTTCCCATATGAATAAGAAGAGATTTCCTGCATGATTCTTGGTGAAGTTTAAAAATGTAATAAAGTGGCTGAAGTTGTATGACAATAAGAAACATATAAAGAGTGCAGATTTATACGCCAGAAACTTCAATTCTTAGTGAAGGAAGAAGCAGAGGAAATATCAGGAGTTTCAACATGGTATCGGTAATCAGCGTTCCAACATCTGGAATCCCAGCAGATACTACATCATTGAAATAGTAAAGATTGTCTTCAATCTCATCAACTGCAGAGAGTATGCTAGAAGTTGATTCAAGACCCTGGCTCCTGTGTCATCACCAAGTATAATGCTCAGATAAATGAAACTAAGATATGATGGGAGTGTCTAACCAGACAATGAAAAATAGAAAACTAGCATATAACTAATACGAGATTAAGACAATAATACTTACTCTGTGGTACGCGATACCATTCCATTTAAGCTGATGCAGTGCTCTCTAAAAAATTTAACCAAGTTCAAAAAGTAATCAGCATGGGGGATGCTGGCGATATATTTATTAACAGATACATCTCCGACTGCAAAAGAAAATAGATGAGTAAGAACTGCACTGCAGAAAACTGACATCAAAAGTACTTGAGGAAGCGCATATTACATGATATCAAAAGGAAGTAACTAACCATGATAAACATTTAGTGTCAATGCACGAACTGCAGTGCGAATCATGCCCTCTTCATGGAAAGCAAAACGAATTGCCTCAACATAAAGTGGGAAGGCAACTATTTCCTCCTAATACACACAGGAGATGAGAAAATATATTAGAACAGGAAGAGAGAAGGTGGTAGAGAGAGAAGGCATATATGCATACATGGGATGCACATGAAAATGTGTGTATGTGTGTGTGTGTGAGAGAGAGAGAGAGAGAGGGAGATCATGTGATCATTTCGTTCTTCAATCAATAATTAGAGTACAAATTTTTTCTCACATGCCCACAACGTCCATCTCACGCTTTCCCACTCACTATTCGGGGAAAGGGGTAAAAGGAAATAAAAGAAATAGTATGCCACACACTAGCTTCAAAATAATGAAATGTACTATATATGTGTCAATAAACATCATGGGTTGTTTTTATTGTCTATTGCCACACAATAATCAACAGCCACAATTTCAAATAGAAACATGGGTTGGAATTCCTAATGACACATCTATAAGTAGGAATGTGAGATTACAACAGAAGGGACTCAAGCCTATCTTCTTGTCAAAGTCGCATGCCCGGTGTTTTTTAATCAGTGATGCTGGGTCCTATTAAAATTGTAGATACTCCATAATAGATACTCGTGAAGAGAATATGAGGGCCACAAGTCATTAGATTTTTTAGTTAAGTGAGAAAACATCATGAACACACTCAAACATGAGCAAGAGAATCTGGGAAACCTCCCAGCTTGGCCAAAATTTGACACAACTTCAGAACAAGTACCTAGTACACCAAGAAAAGAAATGACTTGTAAAACATTGTATAACCATAAATGTCTTTTTACTTGCCCATTAATTTTTCTAGCCAAGCAATAAGAGAGAGTAACACTGGACTGACACCCAATCTCTGATTTCCCCTGTCATCTTAAGCATAGGTTCAGAATGATTTCTTGTTGAGGCCATCACAACTATACATCCAGAATTTTTTGCAAGATCTGACACGTAGAACTGTGGCTAGTTCTCTTAAGCAGCAAGATCTCTCGCATCTGGTTTTCTTCATAGATTTCTTTATTTTTGACTTTTGAGTTATGATCCCCGTCAGTTTTGTAAATACTTCTGAGTATATCGTATAGTCTTTTGCCATGAAAGTGTGAAGGATCATTCATAGGGTGTATTAGCATATATCACATAGAAGAGGAGGCAGTAATAGTCTGGATAATCCAATTCTGTGAAACATCCATGCAGTACCTAATTGGCAGCAGAAATTTATTCACCAACCTCTGTCACAATAGTTCAAACCCCCAACAAATACCTTGGAGCGTCAGAACTACAAAGGAGAAGCTACATGAGGACGCCAGATACTTGTTTGAGGCTTTGAGTTGGAAAGCTTTTTATAGAAGATTCACTAAATCCTTTCATGATCTGCCATAGAGTCATGCCAAATGTGAAAAAGTCATCAAATGCACTATTTTAGCCTCTTTCCTTGTATTATCATTTATCTGTTTTAGGCGATTGCCTTTCAAGCTATGTTAAAAAAAATTCCCTTTCCAATATATATTCACTGGTCATCTTTGTATTGGAGTTTGTGTATTCCTGTAACTTAATGCACAGGAAAGGATCAAACGATCTGATGCCTTTCTGACATTGAAGGTTCATGTCCTCTTTGGCCATCTTCCAAAATTTTCTCCCTTTTATGACCTATTGCTTTTACCAGACTGGATAGTCTTGAAACTTGATAATGGAGACCTTTTAGGTATAAAAGGTAAATATTTGTGTCTAAATCGATAAAAATTATGTGAAAACAAGATAAACATGCCCACTTCATTGAGAAACCTAAACAGAGAAGTAGAAGAAGATCAGACTACTATAGTGCTCAAATCTGGCATTATGTTATGCTGAACAACCATAGCTTCCCCTTGATGGAAGAACATTACTTAAGTACACCCTCCAAAAATATATAAAACAAGTGTTATCAAGGAAATGAGCCTGCAGTACACAATCAATAGTAAACAGAGTTGGAAAAGGTGTTTGTTCATATCAAATGCATCAGAAATCAATTGACTAGTTGAGGAATAACTAAACATTGACAACCAAGAGACAGTGAATACAAATAAACAAACTTACATTTTCAGTCTTAACAAGCAGAGATATGGTATTCTTGTTCAACTTTCCACTGATTGCTCTTCATTAGATTTCAAATTTGTCACAAACAAAGGTAAAAGGGATAGAAAAATCAACAGCTGAAGCAAGAAATGATTGAAAAAAGACCATTTCAGAAAACCAACAGATAAGCTGAAGCATAACAAACCTGAGGAAAGATATGTAGTATGACAGTAGCTCTTCATTCCGGAAGTCAAAAGAATAAGTTATAAGAAAGTTTATGTGTTCATTACTGAACAAATAATCTGCATATTTTTCAGAAAGAGGTTAATAAAAAAATAAAAGCAAATAAAGGATTTGAAAATAATAAAGCTTGCACCAAATATATATATATAGAGAGAGAGAGGACCAATCAAATGCAAACCACCCATATTTGTACAAACCGTGCAAACCACTCTCATCTGTCGATTTTATTGTTTAATCTTATGAAATTGTTTCATGTATCTCTCTAAAATTAATATAATGAAGAGGATAATATTCATGATTAACACCCTCCAGAATAAAAATAATTAATCAACCTCTCATAATTACAAAAAAAAAATGAAAAATTATGATTGGTTGAATGAGGTTTGTACAGTTTGTACAAATAACGTGGTTTGCAAAGTAAACCTCCTATATATATATATATATATATATATCTGTGGGGAGGTTTCAAATACAAACTATGCAATTGTTACAAACCAATCAATTGAGATAATTATGGAAATGATGAGGGTTCATTTATTTTCATCTAGATATTTTAAGGAAGATGATTAGAGTTCATTAATTATGATCCACGCTTTATATTAGGAAATAATCGAGATATTTATGAAACCACATATTCATTACATTAGATGAACGGTTGAGATTGGTTTGCATGGTTCATAACAATGTGTCGGTAATAAACCACCTCTATGCATGTGTGTGTATATATAATATGTAAGTTTGTGCGATTCTGTGAAATATCCATCTTTAGTGACAACCAAAATAAGCATCTTACATATGGAGTGGTCACTTTTCAGGTTCTGAATCATAATGCTCATCGTTTGTAGCAATTGAACCGAAACAATCACATTCTTACTGATCTTCAGTATTCGTACAAATTCCCCCATGACTTGCTTCTCCATAAAAAACCTGCTAAATAGGCATCATTAAACAAATATCTTGTTCAATATGTATATTCAAGCACACATGATGGTATGCAACACAATTGCAAAGTATATAAATAAGGTAAATATTTAGAGAAGCGCACTCAAAGAAATTAGTGTCATGCTGGTCGCCATATGTTATCAACTCCGCAATTGATCTCAATGCCTCAATCACAAAATCCTACCACAACATAAGAAAGAGTAAGGACATTGAAAACATCATAATAAACATATTGAGGTTCTATCAATTCAGAAAGAAAATACACAAGATTACGGATAATTAAAGTTTGGATCTGTTACCTTGTTAAGATCATTAACAACTTGAACTCTCATCAGCTGGTCGGTTAAGTATCTACAGCAGAAGCCAAATTATTTACTGGGTAAAAAGGATAAAGAATGTTCAATACATCATAGCTTCATGCATACGAAATTAATCATGTTATAGAAATCAAAATGTTTGTACGTGATATATCATTGCCTATTCAGCAAATTATAAGATACAGGCCACAAAGAGCCAATTATTTTAAACACGAGAAACGAAAACTTGCTGCACTTATAGTTCCAAGCAGTTTTGGGAAGCGAAAGCCTGCAGAGTGATACTCAGATTGTCAAAGTATATCCTGCAGTAACCCTTTCCAAAACATTATGTATTATCCGGTTTAAAGTTGCCATTACCCTGATATCATTGATAGACGGACTTCAGCAATATGACACCACTACTTTATGTCCATGAAATGGAGGGCACCCTTGGGTGAGTTTTGAGGAAATAGGTTGTTAATGAATTTATGAGAAACCAAGCACCAGCATGTAACCACTCGAGAAATCAATAGGATCTCTTTTTGAAAGAATATAAGAATAAAAAATTACATCAGACACCATATATTCCCCTTCTTTATATCTCTGGTCTCTACTACTGTAAAAATGTCAATTCTGAATCCTTCTTCCCCTAACTTCCCTGACGATTTCCATTGTTCCCCACGTGTCCCTAAAAGGCATTTATAAGTGCCCATAACTATGACTATTGTTTCATTTATTGCCCATGACCATTTTACTCCTAAATTTCACACATGGACATATAACTTTTTCATTGCAAGAGCGCTTGCTTTGTACTCCAGCTCACACCATTTCAGCTTTTGTAATGGTATATTCTATCAAATAATCATTGTATAACACTCCAGAATTTTCTACAAAGCCAATATGAGATTTTCTTCACCCTAGTTCCTCCTGTTATTATACCATCTCTTTAATATAAGGTTAACTTATCTAATCCTTCGTCCTTCCAAGGGTCTTTGTTATTATACCATCTCAATCAATGTATATCGTGTTTAATTTCTAGCCTTTTTGTTTGAGTGTGCTGCATATGAGATTGTAAAAGAGTTTGATTGTACTTCATGGATTATTATCATGGATTCGTGGTATGAGTTTACATATTCTGACGAATTCCTTTATTATGTGGAATCATCTCTTTAATGGGCATTTGTGTTTTGCACGGAGATTTTAGTATTTCTGGAAATGCCAAATCCACATACCTTACGTCTATGTGCTTCCTAGCTAGAAGAAGCTTTTAAATTTTAGGGGTGTTCTTTTTCCTCATTCATTCTTTTATTGGTTCTCGCAGTCTAATATGTGTTGTGTCGGAACATACAATGATGTCTATTCCAAAAAGGTTTGAACAAAAATAACTTATACTGCAACACTATTCTTATGGCAATATGATTGTTCCCTTGAAATTTAGCTACGAATGTGGTTAGCGAAGGTATACAAGAAAATGAACGATGCTGTATGTTTTTCTTATGACGATATTAGGGTTGAATGATAATATCAAGTCATGTATCAAAGATCTAGTGTTGAGAAGCACTCTACAATCTGAGGATTTCAAATTAAGCTAGTATGAGGGTGAAACTTTAGTGGTGCCAATAGGGTGAGGAGGATGTAGTGTCTTAGACATGAAGTACCTATGAAAGACATATGTCATCCTTAGGGATCCAATGAAAGATGGAAGATCAATGACAATTTTAATTATGGTACAATAGTAGAATGTGCAGGGATGGCGTGCTAGTACATCTTGGTAGCCTTGATAGCAAAGCACCAATCAAATTGAAGGGTCTTTTCTTTAAAACAAAGAGTGACACATGCATGCACTACAGGGGAGAGTGTTCGTCCAAGAAGAAACAACATATACACTAGTTGCATTCACCATACCATATGCAAAATATTGAAAACTAGAACAACATGCCTATATCACAGAGGAATCAACACCAAGGCTCAAAATGACGAACTCTGTAGGTTCCAAATAAAAAGGGTCAACTTTGACTATTATGTCAAACCTCAATGCAAATCGATATGGAATTTGTTGAAATATATAACACCTATAATCTTCTGATCGTGGCGCTTGTTCTCAGGCTTAGTGTAGTCAAAAAAAATTATCTTCGAAATTTCAGATACCATATCAACTTGTAAACAGAGTCAGCATATGCCCATGGTCGAAGTGGAGGCCTTTTCTTATAAGAGATAAGCAAGAGTCGAACACACTAACTCGTCATATAGTTATTTTGTCTTTCCTTACGAATAGAGAGTAAAATATCGTTTAAGCGTTCTAATTTCTCCTAAAACAAATCTTCCGACACCGATAACTAAACTAAACCCGTAAAAACTTTCAAATGAAAATCAAATTGAGAGAAAATTAGTTACTTGAGTTCATCCAAAGTGAATCGATCTCTGGATCTCCAGAAAGAAAACCACATGATTTTCTTCGATCAGACCAACTTTTACGAGTTAAAATTTGACATCATCAGAGAATCTCAAGATTACGATGATGACATTCTGCCTTCTCTCAGTTCAAATCTTCGTTGACTGTGAAAGTAGGTAATTCCGCCCCAAATTCGAAACTTCCAACGGAAAAACCTATCAAAATCAAAGACGAACGACCTCTAATTGTTGATCACTGCGTGAATATGTATGTCTGTGGTGTTGCGTGCGTGAAATTGGGCAGAGAAATATCAGAAACGGTGGGGGATCGCCGATTGCCGATTAACTCCGGTTAAAGTAAAGGTTAAGATTATGATTTTTGCGCAGTCGACAGCATAAAGGCCCGACGGGAGGCCAAGGCTGAGCTGGCAAACCCGACTTGTAATCGGGTCGGGTCTTTTGTCACGGGCTTTACTTGTCCTTTATCAACTCAGAAACTATGAACCACTTGTAATTAGGATGCCAAGTATTTCAGTAATATCAATCGGAACATATTTTTTATTTAATTATTAAAATAAAAAATCCAACAAATACTCTGTATTTTATATAATATAGTATAAAAAGTCAATTTTTCTAAAAAAATTGTATTTAATTTTATTATTTATTATTAAAAAATACATTTTGGTCAAAAAAAAATATTCGATACAATTAATAAAATATCATTTTTCTCTCCTAAATATTTAATTTCAAATTATGATGATAAATAATTAAATATTATCTATCTCTCTTTTATATTAAGTTTTACAGGTACCTCCAAATTTAGAGATTCACACCTTTTTTATCTTATTCTCTATTTTAATATATATTAAAAGGGTACTTGCATAATGCAGCGAGATATATCTCCATGACTCCATTTAATGTTTCGTTTTTTTTTTTTTTTTGTCTCTGTTGACATAATACAATTTATGTGGTTTTAAGAAATAAATGTTTTTACGATTTAGTGAAGTAATTTATTTTAGGTTTAACAATAAAATTTTATAAAGATAATGATTAAAACTCAGTGATTATCCTAATTATATTTTAGATTTTTTATTTAAAATGAGATATTTATCATGTATTTGATTATGTTTATCTGCAATTGATTATATGAATTCGAGAATGGAACTTCAATAAGTTGTATATACGCACAATTTACTTGCAATCTTAAATTTTAAGTAATATGCATTAATACACGATGCTTCATGCATAAAAAATGTTTTTAAGAGTTTTTGTCAAATAAACATAAAGAAACAAAAGACAAAACGAAAGCACAAGAAAGTCTGAAGAAGGGCAAAACATTGCCTAATTAGGAAATATATTTAAGATTTCTGTATGGTTTGTCAGATATAAGATGCTAAATTGTGTAAAATTTTAGGAGCTACAACGAGACTATGACATGTTTGAAGACATGTTTTTTGGCAGTAAATTTTTAAATCATGTATACAGTTGTATATATACATATATACACTGTATTATAAAGCATTTTTGAATAAAGTCATAAAAACCATGTTTATATGTTAAATAGTGCTAATTAAATCACGTTATGTTAACTTGCTATGGTATAGCTTCTTGGTATTTTATAATTAAATTTATATAATTAATTGATAAATATAATCAAATACATGACAAATATTTTATTTTAAATTTGAATTTGAATTGTTTTAAATATTATTAATTTTTTAATTAAGCAAGTTATATAAAAATAAGTATTTTTTTAATTTTTCATATGTATATCGATATTTTTTTCCCATATTTTTATCAGGTTTAGAATGTGTGTTTTGTCAACATAAACATCATTTTAAATCTTATTCAACACAAAATAATTTATATTTTTATTAGAAAATCTACAAAAATAAGTATTTTATTCTTCTTAATTTCATATTCATATTATCATTTTATTTTTGGGTTTTTTTGCTTAATTTTTTTTACAATGTATGTATTTATTTATAATATTATGTATCAAATACCATTCATAAATCAAATTACATAAAATCCAAGAGTATATATTAATGATGCATGGATGTAAATTCTCAAAAATCTATGTTTGAAATCGTATCTATATCTATATTATATTATAAAACACTAAAAGAATATTCGTGCAATGTATCGAGACACATTTTCATTTCAATGTTTCATTTTATTTTTTATCTATGTCGATATAATATGATTTTATGTGGTTTTCAAAAAGCGATAATGTTTCTATTTTTGAATAAAATATAAACTTAAAAAAATATATCATATAAAATTTGTAAAAAATATATCAATATTAGTATCAAATTAAATATTTAAAAATCCTTGTTTGTGTATTTTTTTTTAATTCAAAATTTTTATTATAATTTAATTTAACGTTACGAAGTAACTTAATTTAGGTTCAATAATACATTGTCTATAAGGATAATAATTAAGTATTTTATTAGATTTCAATAATTATCCTAATCTTATTTTAGATTTCTTATATTTTAAAATGAGATGTTTATCCTCTATTTGATTATGTTTATCCGGAGTTAGCTACACGAATTCAAACACATAACTTTAATAAGTTGTACTTATGCACAATTTACTTATAATCTTAATTTTTTAAATAATATGCATTAGTAAACAGTACTTTATGCATAAAAATGATTTTTTAAGAGTTTTTGTCAAATGTTTTATAATATAGTATAGATTTCACAAAAACTCTTAAAAAACATTCTTTGTGCATGAAGTACTGTTTATTAATGCATATTACTTAAAATTTAATATTACAAATAAATTGTGCGTAAGTACTGCTTATTAAAGTTCAATTTTTGAATTCGTATAACTAACTGCAGATAAACATAATCAAATACAAGATAAACATCTCATTTTAAATATAAAAAATCTAAAATATAATTAGGATAATCATTAAGTTCTAACAAAATCATTATCTTTATAAAAAATATATTGTTAAGCCAACAATAAATTACTTCACTATTAGACCTAAATTAAATTATAATAAAAAATTGAATTAAATAAATTATACAAAAAAGAAGAACTTTTAAATAGTTAATTTGATATTAATATCAATGTATTTTTTTTTTCAAAATTCTATGATATCTTCAAATTTATTTTTATTCAAAGTTAAAAATATTATCTTTCTCAAATCACATAAACCGTATTATATCAACAGAGACAAAAAAATAAAACGAAACATTAAAATGAAGATGTATCTCACTGCATTGTGCGAGCATCATTCTAGTTATATCATAAAGCATTTGACAAAAACTCTTAAAAACTAACTTTTATATATGAAGTACAGTTCATCAATGCATATTACTTAAATTTCAAGATTACAAGTAGTTTTGCGTAAATTCAACTTATTAAAGCTCCATTTTTAATTTTGTATAACTAACTGCAGATAAACGTAATCAAATACAGGATAAATGTCCATTTTAAATATAGAGAATCTAAAATATAATTAAGATAATCATTGAGTTCTAATAAAATGTTTAATTATTATCTTTATAAAAAATTATATTGTTAAATCAAAAATAAATTATTTTGTTATTAAATCTAAAT